GTATTTGTGTCTTTAAACTCTTTTCCAGATTTTGTTTTTTCCTCTTCTTCCCTCATTCTCGCCTCGGCTCAGTAACCCACTCTGATGTGAGGAACCACCAAACATGGCTGCCCACACCCAACTGGTAAAAACATCAAACAACAATACTGGAACAATCAAAGTGTAACCGGGCCGCAGCAGTTTGGACGGGGTGTAATAAAAGCAGAGTTTGGATTCAGACGCTGAGGAGCAGCCGGCTCACTGTGGCTTTTATTTCGGAGCTTATTTCTGTCTCCCGGGCTTTAAGGCGTAAACAAACTGGATCAGATAATTGCCGCATCATTTTACTCTCGCTGCAGACTTGAAGCGTCAGCAGCGTTTCACCTCCGCCACGGGGAACTTAAGTGGCTCGGATTTCTTTTTTGTGTGAACAACACTGATCCCGTGTTTTGATCCCAGGGGACAATTACCAGAAATTATATTTTGTTTCCATGGTAACACAGCTACATTATGTTTTTGTTTCCCTGTGTGATATTACAACATTTTCTCTCCTCTATGTGGAAAGATACAACATATGTCATGACATCTTATTTTCTCCTCCACTGCTGACAGTCATGCTCAAACCTTCTGTTTCTGATTGTTCAGGAATGTGACAAGTGATTGTTTTGGTCATTGATGAGGAAATTGACCGTATTATATTGTTTAGAAGGTTTTTGAGGTCAAAATTTAAAATTAGAAAGTATGGTACCAGAAAAATCCCAGAGTAACATGTTTTATTTTCTGATTTAGTTTGCATATAAACTTCAGAGGTGTCAAAATGTTGCCACGACCTTGGTCAACACGGTCCAGTCCAGTGTCAGAGACAATTAGAAATCCACCACACAAACAGACCCAAATCAGCTTCGGTATGCCTTCGACCTGCAGTTGGAGCTCCAGCAGGAGACAGGATCAGAGCTTTGCCTCTCTGCTCCACCGCTCCCCACTGATGGCGTTCCCCGTGGCAGCAGTGTCCGTGTGCGTCGCCCCTGACTTCACTGCAGCACAACAAAATATCAAATACTGAACAACATTACTAATGTGATGGCTGAGTGGGGAGTGGAGAGGGGGAGCACGGTACGATTCAATCTTACCTGGTAATATAAAACTGCTCTAAATCACGCTTTGCGTCGGGGTCCTGCGTCACCTGGTCGGTGTTCATTTCGCAGTAATGGCCCCTCTCCTTGTGCTTTATCCCTGACATGGCAAACACAATGTGCACAACATGGTTACGGACACAAGGGTCAGAAAGCATATGTAACACTTAAGCCTAGTTCACATTACACGATTTTCACCGCGATTTTGACGTCGCAGAGGATCTTGCTCTCTAAACGTCACCTTTCTGTATATAACTTATTTAAACGCATGATAGTCGCTTCTTTCGGGCTTGTTTCCATAGCCCTGGTTGCTTGTTTCTCTCCCAGGATCTCCCAGCAACACTGACAGGCCGGCCAGCAAGCAACAACAACAATGGCGGCGTCCACAGGATCACGGGGAGCACGTTGTGTTTGGACCCAGGAGAATAAAGAATATCCATGCCTTTACTATGTGTCGTCTCCAAGTTATCTGGGGCTCTGTCGGCGATGGCTCGGGGGAGAAATCTTGTGGTGTGCACACACAGGTCGTAACACAGTTGGCGAGACTTCCGCTGACAGAAACACACATCACCAGGTATGAACTCTCAAAAGATTACGATAGTCTCTGCGACACAAAATCAGGGTGAAAATCGTGTAATGTGAACTAGGCTTTAAAATGAGAGGACCTCCTCAACCTGCCGACAGAGCGTCTGAATAGAGGTTCATATATGCTCAACTTTAAATATGGACACGTGGAGCCCTCTGTTTGTACTCTGTGTTCATTTCGTCCGTAGCTGTGCTCGTTTTCTGAAAGTCTACAGATACGGATGAAACGGATCAGTACCACCGAAGGTCATGGAGGCAGTGTAGCGTGGTTCCAGTGAGATCCAACTGTAGGAGACGACAGATACATTTAGAAAATGGCAGAACAGAACAAATCGGTAAAATAGTGAAAAGGGTTCTCTGTCCACATGCTGTGATGTATTTAACGTCCCCAAGTCTAACACTGTCTACAACCCTGCGTCATTAACAAGATACATTATTACGATTATTACATCACCTCGTTCGTTGTTGTGTGAAACTTCTGACTGCGCCTTCTAGTGCCATCTACTGGCTGTATCTCTGACAACACAAAGGACACATGGAAATATGAGAGTGATGGTTACATCGTTTGGAGTGGAGGCATCTGCTTTCATACATACAGGGAGAATAAATAAACCTTAGGGGTCATATAGACGAGACGTGTGTTGGCAATAATGTTTGAAACTCACCTGAAAATAAGAATCACTGTGTATTTGTTACCTCAGAATGAGACGTTTATATCTAGGCCTACACAGGGAGCAGGTCCTCGTCTACAGAAATCACCATGTTGCACCGCCATGTTTCTACAGTAGCCCAGACTGGACAAACCAAACACTGTCTCTAGATACTTTTACATTTTTGCATTTTTGCATTGGCCACCATGGCCAGAAGCCCATCTGCAACGAGAAGCATAAGAGTTTCACTGTGTTTTTATCAGTTTAAATCAGCTCTGTTTGTTTTTCAGAGGAGGAACCTCTGTGGATTATTCAACTCCCAGTAAAAACCTCCTGAACAAACCCATCCTCACTGCGACCTCGTCACAAGTCCACATATGACGTCCAAGGTACCCTGGGTGTGTTGGTTGTTGACGTTCTGGGACGCCGTGTCAACTTCAGCCTGTTACATGCATTGTCTGTTTTCAAAATACACTTCTGTTTTCACAGGAAATGTGCAGTTTGATACAGTCTCTTTCAAAATAAAAGCACTACGTCGGTACACAACACTGCACATTGGCATTTTATTTCCTCCAACAACAAACACATGGTTGGGTTTAGGGAAAAAGAACAGGGTTTGGCTTCACAATCTTACAGGAAGTGAACACCGGCCTCCTGGGTGAAAGTCAGTGGTTGTTGGACCCATCCACCCCGCCTCCCATCGGTCCTACTCAGATTTCCGCCGTCTTAACTTTCACGGTGTTCCCATCACGTTTCCCCTGATGCCACCGGGTGCCGTTTCAGAATTACAACATCCGGTTGTGTATCTGGTTGACATGAAAGGACAGCTTTTTTTGTTGCTGTCCAATGCTGGAAGGCACTGCCTACATGCCAGATTTCACTGACTTCAGACTGAGACCAGGTTGACTGTACAGTGAACACTGAAGGAATTCCAAGAGAAGTTTCAGCTGGTTGCAATGTCTGTAATCCTCACGGATAGACACCACCAAATCCCCCTAAATCTGACACACTTCACCTTTAAATGTAGGTTTTTATATAAAAGCCAGTGGTTTAAAAGGGAGAAGTTCAAACCCTGACTCCTTTGTGCATGTGGACGTTGAATCATCAGATTCAGAAAGTTACAGAAATGCTCAGACGCAGCCCCCTGTTATTGGCTGTGTATTTACTCTTGATGGATGTAGTCGTTCATCCAGTGAGAACTTCTGATTGAGTGCACTGAGCCTTTAACCAGGGACAGTTTCCCAGTTTGACTGAGTGCCGCATCCCCTGACAAAACCAGTTCAGACTTCATCATGCACCATTTCCTTCTTAAGCATCTTTTCTCTTTGACCTTTAAAAACAGACACAGTGAACATGTCTGCTGTGTTTCTGCCTGCAGGAGGAGGATGTCTGGCATGTGTGTGTGTTCAGGTTCTGCAGGAGGATGTCTGGCGTGTGTGTGTGTGTGTTCAGGTTCGGGTCCAGAGCAGCAGGTACGGAGCTGAAAACTGAACTGTGCTGTAATCACGGAGGGAAAAACCCCTCACCGCTGCAGTTTGACTGTTTTTCTCTTTTCCTCCTCGAGGTGAAGTTTACAAAGTCAATTATGTGCTGAGTGAGTTTCATGACCTCTGGGCCCCTGGAACCTGTAAGAAAAGCATTCCTCTGTGAAAATCAGACTTTCTGCAGTTATGTGTCCGACAACAGCGATACACACCAAGAGATTAACTCGCAGCCCGACTTCCCCGTGAGAAGCTTGTAAAACCAGGAGAGAAGGCAGCGTGATAGATCCCAGACCTCCCACACCAGTTCTCCTCCTCCCTCTGAAACCGACAGAAAACACTTCACGTCTTTACATCCTGAAACACACACGGCACCAAACCCTCAGCTTTTTACTCTGGTGTTTCCAGGGTGTTCGTTTGTCGTGAAAAAGTTAATAAATCGTTCATAAAAAGCGCCATAAACTTCTGAAGTTGTGTCCTTACAAGGATGTAAAATATAAATAATGACATGTCGCAATTAGTGTTTTTATTGTGCAGCTCCACCCTCTGAGCTGCTTAGATAAAGAGACGGGCGGAGCCCTCAGTCCGTACTCTGCATTCAGTTCGTATTTGTGCACATTTTCTGAAAGCTTACAAATACAGATGAGACAGAGCAGAGCCACTGGAGATCATTGAGGCAGTGTCGCGTTTAACCTTCCTTAAGTTGAAGCAACAAAAGCACGTGGTTAGATTTAGAAAAGACATCATGCTTTAACCTGAAATTCACACAGGAAATGAACAGCAGGCTCTCAGATGAAAGTCCAGAGTTTGTTTGACACATCCACCTAATGTATGAACTCTCTGGCTCTGTATATCATAGTGGTTGCTGGTGACGTTACAAACTGCCGCTGGCTGGTGCGTATCACACTGCTGTGAAGGTGCCTCTGTGCTTCAGTGTCAGGCGCCTACATCACTGACAAAGCGGCGGTATCTGACGAGTTGGGAGTGAGACCAGGCTGGTTTGATGCATCAGAACAGTTTCATACATTAAATATGATAAGTTGATTTGAGAGTAACTGTCACAGTGGGCACTTCTGACCTGCCATACACGCCATCTGCTCAGCTTCCACTCGCCTGCCTCTCCTCCACACCTACCTGCCTGCCTATCACCTGTCCACTCATTTCCTGCTCTTGCCAGTCCACCACACCCTCATCAAGCCAACGCCGCTCACCTGTGGATCATGACTCCCTGTCACTATACAGACTCCAGCTTCTCAGACTCTGGTTGCCAGATTGTTCTTCGCCATCCCGATGCAAGACTCTCCAGAGTTTATCCCCGGACTGCTTCCTTGTTACCTCCTCAGTAAACCATTCAGACTTCTGTCCTCGACCAAGAGCTCTGCTTCCGACTTCCTGGATTCTGTTCACCTGTTCCCTGTGGCTGATTGCTTCGCCATGTGGCTGCACATCCTGTCTCTGTGTGTGTGCGCCATGGAATGAACTCATCACAGGTGTGTTGGTGTCTCCCGTGTGCACTCCTGGTTCCAGATTTCCTGCTCATCTGACATCACCTTCTGCCTGCTCCCTCACGGTACTGCTGCACTATGTTGATCTGTTTGCTGTGTGTGTGTGTATCCAGTGGATGCCGGCTACCCTGGCCAATCGGTGTGCTCGGAGGACTATTTGAAGCATTAATAATCTTTGTATGACAGAAACATTAAGTGCTTTTTTTGGGGTTGATTTATCCAACCATAGAGTGCTCCCCTAAAGACGGGGACTCTTTGGGGTCCAGGAAGAGTTCCAGTCGGCGTCCTCCAGGTGAAACGCAGGTAAGGTTCCTGATTCTCTTGAAAGAAAGAGTCCTGGGTTCCTGGAAAAGTTCTTGTGGTGGAAACAAGCTGTCAGTGTTGGTGTGTCCTGCCTCAGACAGCTGGGTCTAACCTCTCCCCCCTCCTCACCCCTCCTCCCACTCACAGCCTCTCAGAGCCAGACCTGCCGGCTGCAGGGGGCTTTAACCTCGGGGGTCCCGCCGCCTGTCTGCAGCCAGTCTGAAGGCAGGAGGACGCTGAGACAATGTGGAAACGTGAGGATCGCTGCAGGTCAGTCCTGCAGCAGCTCCATCCATCACAATGAGGAAATCTCTTCACCCTGTTTCACCTTTTCAGATCCACCTCCTCCACACTGACGTCTTTCTTTACAGCTAAACATTTGTTTTCTCATTGTAGCTGCCCGACATCTGCTCTTTTGTAGTTTATGTGTTGAGGAAATGGGGCCTACGAGGACATTAGTCAATCTGAAGACATCATCTAACCAGGCTTATTTCTACGAGAGGAAGATACTGTCGGATTAAACTGTCTGAGATCAGTTCAGCTTTGAGGTCTGCAGACCAGTTTTAAAGCCAGTTATATACAGTAAAATATTTCTGAATATCTCTGTTGCTCTTATTCTGTTTCATTCAGAGATTATCTGTTGAGCGTTTGCAGGAAAACTGCTGAAAAACTAAACTTCGGGTGATAAAATTTTGGGCTTAAAAGAAGCTTGTTGTTCTGATTGTCTCATGAGATGTTGCTCAACTAAATGCTTAAAATATTTCTGTAATTCCTGCGCCCCAGTACCCTCCTCCTTGGCTTAAAGTTCAGTTGGTTGGTTTGGTTTTACGATCTTAATTGCTCTCCATCTTTTTCCTCAGGCCTTAAAAAAACACTGATACTAAATCCGTTGTATCACAGTGGAAAAACTCTGCTTCCATGTTCTTGAGGTGATCTGTTGTCTTCACTATGTGTTTTATATTCATGCGTTCACCTTGATGTTTTTGGAAGTTACCCATGGTTTTACTGAAACAGCTGCTTTTGTCAGACAAATTCAAATATTCAATCACAAAAATCACAAAGTATGAAAAAGGTTGTTTAATAAAAAAAAGAGGAGAGTCCTGTGGAGTGTTGTTACATTAAATGTTTCAGTCTCTACAGACCAGAGTTCTTTCCTTTCTTCTCTATGGGGAGATTTATTAAAATGTAGAAATGTCTTTACTGTAACTTTAGATTAATGCAACAACAATCATGGAAATATTTCAGGAGATCCATTGCAGCCAACAATTCCTGACTTTCACTCTCGAGGCTGGTCTTCGCTTCCCGTATGAAAGCCGAACCTTGTTCTTTTTTCCTAAACCCAACCACGTGCGTTTGATGTTGAAAGTTGTACTGAGGCAGTGCTTTTATTTTGAAAGAGACTGTATCAAACTGTACATTTCCTGTGAAAACAGAAGTGTATTTTGAAAACAGACAATGCATGTAACAGGCTGAAGTTGACACGGCGTCCCAGAACGTCAACAACCAACACACCCAGGGTACCTTGGACGACATATGTGGACACAACTTTTAAAGGACCCGTATTTTTTGATTATTTTCACTTTTGATAAACTTGCCTGGCGCTTTTTTAAGCACATCGCATTGAAACATAATTTCAGCCAGCTGGCGAACATGAAGGGAGAGATGGCACACAGGGAGAAAATTAGGAAACAAACGTTATAGTAAACAAAACATCACCAGCGACACATGTTAGACAGCTACAGAAAATAAATTTACAGCTATGCTACTTTACATGGAACAACTTCATTACACACAACAAATTTCATGACTTTTCCAAAACTTTCAATGACTTTCAGTAACTTCCAGGCCTCAAAAACGTGATTGTGAAATTCCAGGACTTTTCTAGGTTTTCCAGGACCTTGGGAATCCTGTAAACCTGCAGTACTCACACTGACTCCTGTCGTGTCCTGAACAAGCACCGACTCCCCCCACTCACTCTGTCAGCTCCTCTGAGGTGTGTGTGTGTGTGTGTGTGTGTGTGTGTGTGTGTGTGTGTGTGTGTGTGTGCGCGGTCAGATCAGGTCACCCCCCCCTCTCTGTTGCCATCTAGTGGTTAATATTACCAAAATTCAACCTCACACACTCTGAGACTCTCTTTACCTCTGATACACACACACACTTTCATAACATGTCTCTGGTCTCTTTCACACACACACACACACACACACACACACACACACACACTGTCTTTTTTCTGTAGCACACACACACACACACACACACACTCATGCTCTTTGAATCACACATTCTTTGATGCACCCCCTCTCTTTGAAGCAAAACCCCCTTTCCCCTTTTAGACAAACTTTGTTTTTAAAAACACACTCTTGTCGTCAACACTCAGGCTTCCTCTCTACGACACGGACACACACTCTCTGACACGATTCCCTTTTGACTCTCGTCCTCACTGTCTTTTTAACACACACACACACACACACACACACACACACACACACACCTGGGCCGTGCCTGGCTGGTGTGTGTTTCCAGCATGCAGCAGCACAGATCGAGCAGCGGCTGACGCTCAGTTAAAAGCTGCTGGGTGGGTCCTAATTATTTCTTTGAAGACTCGCTTTTCCTCCCCGTCTGAGCTTCTGACGAGCTTCACTTTAAAGATGCTAGACACACACACACACACACACACACACACACTGTCATGCAACCCGCTCATCTGTCACATAAGACTTTAATGTCGACTCCAGACTGCAGATTTATGGGAACATAATGCTGAAACGTAGAGGAGCTGATAAGGAGGAGTGTGCTCAGCTGCTCGTTACGTCCAAAACTGCAACATTTATTTGTTTCATTCAAAATAAAGCTTGTGCGAGACGTTTATGGTTTTGGTTTAAAGTTGCATTTAAAATCATCTGTTGAAGGAATTGTTTCTAAAGTTGACTGACTGTCGGGGTCTATCATCTGTCCCCCTAGAGGCCCCTCAGACCCCAGTTTGAGAACCTTCGACCCTTTCAAGAGCCCCAGATGTGTCCTTGTCTGCACTGTGACGTCCACAGGGACGGATTTATTTTGCACAGAGGAGGTGACGGAGTTCATTGTGACATGACTAAGAATAGGACGTGAATACTCAGTTCAATAAAGCTGTGACATGTCGATGATGCTGAAGCATCTACAGAAATAATCTAAAGAGCAGATTACATGGCCAGAAGTATGTGGACACCCAAACAAAACTTTCCATGTGTGACAGTTATTTTTCACCCCATAGCCATAAACATGAACGTGCTGCTTTAACAGGCTTCACTCCTCTGGCTCTGGACTCTGCTGCAAGGATTTGCTCTCATTTAGAGAGCTGGCTTTGTACAGTTGGATGAACACTGTTTAAACCAACACATCCTCACTGTGACCTCGTCACATGTCCACGTTTGGTCATGGACTTTCCACGTCCACATATGACGTCCAAGGTACCCTGGGTGTGTTGGTTGTTGACGTTCTGGGACGCCGTGTCAACTTCAGCCTGTTACATGCATTGTCTGTTTTCAAAATACACTTCTGTTTTCACAGGAAATGTACAGTTTGCATGCAGTCTCTTTCAAAAATAAAAGCACTACATTACTAGAACACCTCGAATCAACTTTTCTATTTCCTTCAACAACAGACGCATGCGGTTGAGTTCTGCCAGCACATGCGCGTTAAGGAAAAAGAACAGGGTTTGGCTCTGCAATCACACGGAAGCGAACACCGGCCTCCCGAGTGAAAGTCAGTTTTCCACCACCCAGACTTCTGCGGCTGTGTTTCACCCTGCAGGTGAACAATCATGGGGACCGGTCACATATGCTGATGTGAAAGGACAGCTTTTTCCGTCAGTGTCTGACGCTGAAAATCACTGACCAAGCGCCAGTTTTTGACGACTTCAGAGTGAGACCAGGTTGCAAAGGCCCTGACACACCAGGCTGACGGTCAGCCATCAGTCAGTGTTGGACTGTTGGTGAGCCTCTATCGCTGTAGTCTTGGTCGTGGTGTGTCCTGCACCATCAACCCTGGTCCAGTCACTTTCATCGCTGCAAGTTCTTCTGAGGTAGTTTGCTGTGCCTGGGCCTTAAAACATCATTTCAACAATTTCCCCTCAGGGATCAATAAATTATTTCTGATTCTGATTCTGATTCTGATCATTAATGCTGGAGCGTTAAGATCTCAGAATGAACCGTCCACAACCAGGAAAATATCTCCAAATCTAAAGTATACAAAAGTTTACTTACTTTTGACTTGTTTGTAAACATAGTGAGAAATACTGGGGAGAGAAAGAAGGAAACTTCTGTGTATCTGAAATTAAAGAAGAAAGAAAATGTGTAACAAAGGTGCCTGTCTCTCTGATAGTTTTATATTCTCCTGACAGATGAGCCGCTGTTTCACTTCAAGAGTTTGGAAAATACTTTATTTCTAATTTTGTTCAAATTTGAGGCACTTTTTTTTTTTTAAGAAAACTGACTCTGCAGGAGACACAAATACTGCTGCAACAATTACTTCATTACTCAAATGGCTGACTGTTAATCTTCAGTCAATTTCATATTTGCTTAATCTGTTTTGAGTTTTTCTTTTTATTAGAAAAAAAATCAAAATTCTCTGATCACAGTTTTAAATGTGAATATTTTCCGGTTCCTTTCCGCCCCATAATTTTCTGACATTTTATAGATCAAATAAGTAATCAGTTAAACATTAAAATATTACTCCATAAGGAAAATAATTATGAGTTGCAGCCTTGGACACAAATGCTGCACTTGACTTTCTGTCACTTTTGGTTCTTCTTTAACACTTTGATTAACAGCACAGAGACACAGAGACACATGCAGCTCCGCTGGTAATGAAACTGGATCCTAAAGCAGGAGGTTAGTCTCTCTCTCTCACACACACACACACACACACACACACACAGCTTTATAGTAGCAGGCAGAGAGGAGCAGGGAGACGGTGATTATTAAAAACTTAGAATAACAAAAGGAGGTCTGGAGGAGGAGGAGGCCCGGGAGAAGTCTGCAGCAGAGCTGGAGCAGAGCACCGCAGAGGGTCCTGGAGGTTTGGAGGAGGTTTTGTAAAGGTCTGGAGGCAGGAGGAGGTCCCGGCTCTCACAGAGGAGGCAGGACTTTCTGGCTCTGTGGTGCGCTCCGACACCAGAGGTCCGCTTTAATAGCAGAGGAGGAGGAGGAGGAGAGGCAGGTCGACTCTTTTACACCGCTCAGAGAGAGAGAGAGAGGGAGAGGCTGCAGTCCACTCCTCCGTCCCGGACAGTCCGCATCGAGCATCCATGTGCCAAACAGACCTCTGGATCCGGAGCGCAGATTCAGGCGAGTCCAGTCCTGGAAAGACTTCAGTTACCGACTCACCGGCAGGAAGTCAGAGCCGGTGTGAGACTCTCCGGTCGTTATAGATCAGCTGTGTGTTCATCAGAGCTCAGATCAGCTCGGACTCTTTGCTTTGGACTCCTCTGGCTGCCGGAGCGAAGCGAGATCTGTTTTCAAACCTCAAACCCTCCGCTGCTCCTCTCTGGCTCCTCCACATCTGCAGGAGCTGCTTTTATCTTCAGGTGTTTTCATCCTGCTCTCCGCGCACGACATGAGCAGCCCCGCTGTCTCCTGTCTGTCCGTGCGTCTTTGTCATTTTAATGTCGGTGATCTCCGCGCGTCTGGCTGAGTGTTTGCATTTCAGCGCAATCTGACAAACTGAGGAGGTTTTCTGTCCTGGCTGGAATAAAGAGGAGAAGTCAGCGGGAGGAACGTGGATCTGTTTCACTTCATCTTGTTTCCCTTTGGATTGATTTTGCTCATTTATTCCTCCGTTTCCACCCCGAGGATGTTGCTCCGCCGCCTGAACCCGCCCTCCTGGTCCACCTGTAGGTTTTCCTTCTGCTTTCTGTTGCTGCTCCAAACGCCCCGGTCCTCCTCTCCGCTAATTACAGGTAAGATTAAAGGGATCATATGGCTTCATAATAACACATCACAACACCCACCGTGCGTAAAATCTACCCAAACCCGCGGTTATTTAGTCTGCCGCGTCTCCGCGCTCCTTCAGCCTGGTGTTACTCTGCCGGGGAGCAGAAATCACTTCAG